ATAATAATGAAACAAACAAAAAAAATATACAGCAACAAACGACAACCAATGAATTGCAGGCTCCTGACTCAGAACAGGCACATACAGAATGTGGCAGGGGTTAAACAAAGCAGGAGTCAGTTTCACAAAAAAACTTACGACTAAGATTGATCGTAAGTATATTGAATTATTCATGACTTACGACCAATCTTAGTCGTAAGATTTTTTTGTGAAACCGATTCCTGAAATACATCTTACAAAAACAAAGAGTGGACGTGGCAAGGTACTTATACATCCCCACAACAGAAAGACACTAAGTACATATCTTAGAGTACTCGCAGTTACTGACAGCTAGTTCAAAGCCAATAACAACTAATAAAAAAATTCATGCATCTAAGACTAAATTTGAAAAAACATCAATCAGTACACATCCAACATCCAATATAAATAGTGTAAAAACATGACCTTGTGCATTATACCAAATACAGGTATCGACAGATTTTAGAGCAATGAATGTGCATATGTATATAAAAATAATATTTAGTTTGATTTCAATTTACTGATAACAAAATCAATATTGATACCAATAAAAACAATATTATCACAGTTGTGATATATAAATACCGTAAGATGGTGCCAAAGGAACATCACCGTCCAAAAAAGGAAAATTTACAATAGGGAATGAAAAATCGTCCCTTTTTTTCGTAAATTTTAGTTTAGAGTTTCCCGTGTAAAACTGAAATGTTTACATTTTCCCCGTAGAATACACTTAGTCACTCAGTGATGTATCAGTAAATAATTGGACTATTCTAGAGCGATAAAATAGTAACTTGCTATGCACAATTCATAGTACATGTATACCATTTATTAGTCGAAAAATATGGCGCCAGTAGGTCACGTTTAAAAATTACTTCATGCTAAACTTATTAATTTAACCCGAAATCGCCTTTGTAAAGGGCGATTTTTTTTTGCAATATTCCTTGATATCCATTTTACACACGGCTTCCGGATTTTTGCATTGCATCTTAACACTGTTAGTGGAAAAGCTAGTGTCAAAATATTACCTCCCCTGTAAACACTGAAAACTTAATCTTTCAGTGTTGGTTCTGTTTTAGCAAGGACTATTAGTTATAAATTCACAAGAAAACGTTCTGGTAGTAACAATAAAAAATATTTGAAATAAAAACAAAATTTCCAAATAAAGTTATCATTTCCCTCCTAAAATAGCAAACGACGATTACAACAGGCTATAGAAGTTTTGTGTATAATAAAGATAGAAAAGAAGATTTGTGTAAAATTAGGTTAAAATACTCCAATGCGAATACATTCATGGCATTTAAAGCAGCCCTCTGTTTCATATATTGACATATATTGCATTGCTATGCGGTATGGGGTTTGCTCATTGTTGAAGTGGTAATAAGCATTGCAAATAAAGTGAGAGTGCGGAAACGGCTAATTTAGCAATTTTTACATTTATAAAGGGGCAAAACACGAGAACGATGAAAGTGATAAGCAAATAAAATGATTTTCTATATAGTGTAATAGTTTAAAAGTTAGTCATTTTTAGCTTTTAGTTTCAATTTTTTGGTTAAAATGGGAAGTGGACATCGTTTTGCCCCCCCCCCCCCCCCCCCCATTTTTTCCCCTGTCTCCTACGTACTCGCTAGTAGAAAACTTTACACAGAAAATAGGGCATACAGACTATTAGCGACCCAAGCATATCATATTGGAGTCACATTCGCTTGGGGAATGCCCCCTTTTTTATTGTTTTATTAAGTAAAATGTCTTAGTTTCTTCAGTACTTTCACTTATTTCCCCACTTTTTAACGTATTCTTGCTATCATCGTTCGATTTAACAATAATAGTATTGTATGACCGATGCCCCTGTATTCCAATTTTAAATAAATTCCAAAATTAAAATTTTGAATAAAAGACGGGTCCAATCCTCTAAGCGCCTGTATTGTAGATCTTGTAGAATTCGGAAATTATGAGTAAGCACCCCAAAGAAGGGAATTGCATTGTCTTTTAATAAAATGTAATTATCATTTTGACAATATCAAAACATTATTTTTTCATGAAAACATTCTCAAATACATTTGTCTTGCTAATATATCAGAAGCTGTTCTAGTAATTTATAACATTTGACATAGTTTTCATTTCATCAGCTTTATGCGTGAAACAGATTATAACGACATTCACTTTTAACATGCTAACGATAAGATTGGTTGCGGTAATCTGGGTGACTGCTTAAAAACAGGAGAACGATTTCCAACTTTCGTGTGTTCAACAATTTACCTTTGTATCTTATTTAGGTAAACTATTGTAAATAAAATACATAATCAAGTATTTTGAAACGCACTTAATTATTGTAATATATGTGTATTCATGTTTATTTGAAATTTAATTGTGTGGAAGCCCTCTTCTTCGCACCTTAGGTGTTTGTGGATGCGAGTGTCCAGAAAGGAGAAATACAAACTTTATTTCAATCTATTATTGCTGCTTTTTGTGCATTTATTATTATATATTAAGGATAACAATTCTAGTATATATCATATCGATGCACCTCACTTGCCATCTTATTCAATATTAGCGACTAATTATTTATGAGCTACTGATCTGCATTCTCAAATAAATTAAGGTCAATAACCGAGTGTCTTGGCTTGTCGAGTTCAAACGTGTATATTTACAGGGTTTATTGTTTCCATCTATTTTTAGAAAAGTTTGTACTTGTGACAGTTTTATGAAACTATTATAAATGAATTTTGTGCTTTGTTTGGACTTTTCTATAATATTAACGATTCTGGGAGATCCCAAGACTTCGTTCGATTTTATATAATTATATATTTATATTCAATTTCAAATATTTTATTGGATAAATCACATGTGATTATATGAAATTGCGTAATCCAAGTGTACAACATACATGAAATATACAACATGATAAATAATGTATAGATATATCTATATATATATCTTTTTCTGAATGTATAAATTGAATTACATAAGTTAATGACAAAAGTGTCATATTTCGTTCAATCATAGACCGTGACTCCTAAACAACATAAATGAAAATCTTCAAAAACTTGACTCGAATTTTGTTGATATAACATAAAATTATCAAAATTTGATAAAGGATACACAAAATATGTTTGTTGTATATACACATACCTATTTTAATAACTGGATTCTTCCTTTGGAAAATTGGATTACAATAAGAGCTTGGTTGTTGTTTGCTTAACCTCCAGTGGCAAATATTTCATGCATTTTTATGACGAGAGAAAAATAGCAATTGATACAAAAGGTAGCTCCTGTAATTGGCGGTCGACCGGGATGAAGGGCGAAAAATTTGGAATGCCACTGGAAAAAAGGATATATTGGGTAGGACAGAAATTTGGCCTTACAACAAGACCTATCAAAAGTTGTTGCAAAGTTTTTAGCATGCAGAGATCGTGGCATTCTCTCAACACGAATCATTGGATTAAACGTTCCCAATATGACCGGGCGTGACTGCGAATTTATGCGTCTCGCACAGCAAAAAGGACTTGATTGGACAAGCGTTTTACTGCCGATTAGAAGAAGACCAAGTGATGACCATATTTCTATACACCAGTCAAAAAGAGAAAAAAAAAAGAGACGTACCTATATTATTATGAGACAGACTTTACGCAAGAGCTTCTCAATTAAAATGAAATAACTGGGATTTATCTAAACTTTACTTCTGATTCGCTACATAGATGAATAACTCAGCGTTCATCGACTAAGGTTATTTAAATCTATATCAATAAATCTGAAATAACGATACCACAGGTACAGTAAAGTCAGAACATTCAGAAACTGACAACGAGGGTCGGTTGACATCTTAAACTTTACGAAAAAGCGATGATTTCAATTTTTAAATTGTGAACGTTCCATTTCTGTGAAGCGACATTCCAGCTGTGCCTTCACATTGAATATTTATACGATACGAAACGATAGTATAGGGCTTGGGTTTCCTTTCCTATTTTCTTGGTAGAGGGTTGCTACTTGCAAGGATGCTGATTACCAAGGGTTTCAAATGGTAAAGTTGGATGCATCCCTATGAAGGTTTTACGGACTCTTTGCCTTGTTTTAATGGGTTAGTGTTCTTAACAAACTTTATAACATAGCTTTCAGTAGTATATTAAAGTGCAATCTGTGTTGGCTTTCGTAAGATAGATTAATGTAAGATTTTTGAATTTTGAATTTTTGAATTTTGAATTTTGAAGTTTGAGTTTTTGAATTTTGAATGATCCTTCTCGGCTTTCGTAAGTTTCCTACCATTTCTAAACATGCTTTTTTTAATATCTGTCTATTCGAAATAAATTTCAATTTACTTCGTACTCCTAAATGTTTGTTGACTTTAGAAAAAAAAAAGTAAATTCAGACGTTCCATTCAGCATTGTTTAACAGATTAAAACCCAAGTGATTAGGGCTGGTAATTTTGCCATAAAAACCTATTCAAAGGTAGTTTAAGATGGAAATATCATTTACTTAGTTCGCTTAAGTCATGATTTATTACAGTTTTGAAATCATCTGCACTTTTGTACAACTGGAAAACTCAAATTAAGTGTCATCGACAAACAACCTACTTATTATGTTAATGACGGTAAACTTTTAGTTATTAAGTTGATATAAATTAGGAACAATACTGGGCCCTTTATTGAACCCTTAGGTACCACAGCAGACATATAAATACACCCGGACTATTAACCTTCATTAACAACTTTTGTTAACTGTTATCATGGTTATTGGAATAATGTTCGAACCATTTTAAAAGATTTCTTTTTGAGTCCTGAAGTCCATTTGCATTAGTAAATCTCTTTTCCAAACCTTGAAAATGCGTACGAAAAGTCAGGCAAAAACACTGCTACAGCTAAATTCCTTTTCTTCCAGTGAATTCAATATCAAGAGGTAGAACTCAAGTAGTCGGTGCACAATTGAGTGTTTTTGGCAGACATATTGGAATTCATATATTAATTTGTTTCTAATGAAACTGTTATGAACATACCTATTCACTTCTCTCCTCATAATTTAACCAAAACAACTTACATGATTTATGTACAAGACAATAAACGAAAATGAAATATCAAACGACAATCATTTGATAACTGAGATATATATGTATTTTAAAATATGTGTTTCCTAACATTGGAGCAATGGCGTAACAGCATAACATAACACACAAGAAAACTAATAAAAAGACTTTATACACAAAAAGTGCCTATCTTTTAGAAATAACATATAAAATAATTTTACATTTCAGTCATAACACATGTATCATCGTAGATTGTCGTTGTCATCATAATTGGTACTTCTGACATTGTTTTTATTTCTTTATCCATGTTTCTCCTACATTTATTTCTTTTTCCTGAAAAAAAAACCAAAGACATCGATGTGACCAATTAGGGAAATACATTTATGCAATTCTACTTGAATGCAGTTGGTCACATGTAAACAATTATTTAAAGAAATATTTACATAGTATTGTGTTAATTGTGAAGTCTCGCCTCTCATTGCATTTAAAATGCCTGCATTAAATTTGCATTTACCTATTTCTGATAAATATATAAGCTGTATTTCTTTTGTTTTAAAATAAACTATCAAACAAGGTTAAGGTTCGTCATAACCTTTTCGCAAATATCTGAATATGGCCGTATTTGCACCCAAAATTTCACTCTATGTACAGACAAACCTGTGCACCTGGAAAAGTTTTTAGAGCATGGCTGGACCTAGATAAATAAATTTAAAATGCATTTTAAGTTTCAGAATATAAAAAAAATAATTATATTTTGCTATTCATTTTTTTTCGTTCCTGCAGAAGGTGTTTAAATAAACTAAGTTGGGAAAGACATTTGAGAAGCTCCCCTCATATAATACATGTTGTAAGTTGTATTGATTTAAATGGACAAAAGATGGACAATAGACATCTCCAAACAATACGAGATTTAACTGTGTAACTGAGTGGACGGTATCAAATGAAACTCAAGTGTTAGTTTCAATATCAAGAGGTAGAACTCAAGTAGTCGGTGCACCATTGAGTGTTTTTGGAAGACAAATAAAAAGACAAACAAAAAGACAAACAAAAGAAATAAAAAAAAAAAAAAAAATTGGAATTCATATATTAAACTGTTATGAACATACATATTCACTTCTCTCTCCATCATTTAACTAAAACAACGTACATGATTTATGTACAAGACAATAAACGAAAATGGAATATCAAACGACAATCATTTGATAACTGAGATATATATATGTATTTAAAAATCTGTTTTTCCCAACACTGGAGCAATGGTGTAACAGCATAACATAACACACAAGAAAACTAACAAAAAGACTTTATACACAAAAAGTACCGATCTTTTAGAACTATATTGAATAATTTTACATTTCAGTCATAACATATCATCGTCGATTGTCGTTGTCATCATCATTGGTACATCTGACATTGTTTTTTTTCCTTTATCCATTTTTCTCCTACACTTATTTTTCCTTCCTGAAAAAAAACCCAAGACATCGATGTGACCAATTGGGGAAATACATTTATGCAATTCTACTTGAGTTCCGTTGGTCACATGTAAACACACATTTGAAAATATTTATATAGTATTATGTTAATTGTGTAGTCTCGCCTCTTATTGTATTTAAAATGCCTGCATTAATTTGCATTTACCTATTTCTGATAAATATACAAGCTGTATTGCTTTTGGTTTAAAACAGAATAATATTCAAGGTTAAAAATGAAAACAAAACGGTAATACTGGTGCTAGTAGTCTGTTGTAATTTATGTATTATTGTCATTTTGTTTATTTTCTTTTGTTTCCTATTCTGACATCGGACTCGGACTTCTCTTAAACTGAGTTTTACTGTGCGTACTGTTGTACGTTCGTTTTTTCTACATTGGCTAGAGGTATAGGGGGAGGGTTGAGATCTCAAAAAACATGTTTAACCCCGCCGCATTTTTGCGCCTGTCCCAAGTCAGGAGCCTCTGGCCTTTGTTAGTCTTGTATCATTTTTATTTTAGTTTTCTTGTGTATAATTTGGAGTTTAGTATGACGTCCATTATCACTGAACTAGTATGCATATTTGTTTAGGGGCCAGCTGAAGGACACCTCCGGGTGCGGGAGTTTCTCGCTGAATTGAAGAACCATTGGTGGCTTTCGGCTGTTGTCTGCTCTATGGTCGGGTTGTTGTCTCTTTGACACATTCCCCATTTCCATTCTCAATTTTATTAACCATGTTTGAGCCAGTTTAAAATTAAAACTGGACACCTTGCATACTTTTTCTTTATCTTATCAGTTTTACTTATTTTTCGTTTGATACATTAAAACAATTGTCGACTTAAAACTGGAACTTGTGTAAACATATATTTACATATCAGTTCCAGTTTAAACATATTGGTAGTGTGAAACGGGTGAAAGAGAACGTAGACTATTAAAGATTCCAAAAGGAAAACCTGTGATCTGCATTAAAACTAAATAAAAATACACCTATTTTAATAGAAGCCAAACCTTGTGAAAAGAATCAATCGTTAAATCAATATAAAAAATTTTTAAGCTCAAAAACATATTTTTTTTTTATTAAAAAGGGGGTACACACAGTGAGTGACAATAATTTATCTTCCTCGAGATCCTCATATACAACTATATGCGTTCTCTATTTTGCCAAACATAAATTATTCATGCTAAAACTCATTTACGCCGATGCTCCTTTTGTGCCATTTCAATATTTAAATTGTGTATCGATTGCACATATTAAAAAAGGTGTATTTATTCTTGAAATAACTGAACTCTCCCTTTATCAGGGCATTATGGATAATTAACTTATCGGTAACATTCTATAATAGAGATGCAATTATTAAGCGTTAGGTAGTTTAAAAAAGGTACCATGAGCCCGGAGGGCAAATGGTATCTTTGTACGATCGAAAGCTTGTCCATTAATTTTTTTTTATTTAAACCATTTTCAAAGTTACTGGTCTTTAATTAATTATATCCTGTTATCAGTGAGTTCAAACAATCACCTAATTTTCTCAAACAATGCACAAGAAACATACATTAAATAGAAGTATAAAGGTATTGGATTTTAATCATAAACCAAAAAAAAAAAAAAAAAACAAATAATAAAAATAACACGCGCTAATAGTATACTGAATCGAAATTTCCCTTGAATGATTATGTATCTGAAATTGTTTGGTTATCTACACAAAAGGCAAACGCGAATTTATTTTTAAGGATTATAATTATATGTACATCTATGCTATCAGTGTTTTAGGGAGAAATATAATTCGAGCCACATCACAATTTAAACTCGTACTGATGTGTGAAAATGCAGTTGATTCCCCCTATTTTAATTTATTTTGAAGGATATATCTGTTTTAGTACATACAATGTACATATATACTTTTCACTTTTTGGTCTTTTGGAAAATGTTGTTTGTGCTGTATTTAGAACCCTCTACCAAGAAATTTGTTTTACATGCACACGTATAAAAATTGCGGTTTTTATTCAACGCAATCATAGGTTTGAACGTTGTTTTCAATTTAGACATGTTTATATATTTTTTCGTTTGGGCTTGTATTATATTTTCCTTCGGGTTTATATGATCCGTTCATCCTATTTCGACTCTTTAAAATTCAAGAGTCTATCCTAAATTGAGGTAAATTATATGGCCTTCCAAATACCGTTTCGATCCCTAACATCACTGAAGAGACATTAATTGTCGAAATCCGGATATGGTGTACATATTTCTGCACCTCATGTTTGCGATAAACCATCTTTCCGCAAGTTTATTGCTTTCTGTTTGGTATTAAATTAATTATTAAGATCCATATTACATCTGGTGATCAATTTATTTGGCAATCACCAATGGCAGTCAGCAGGGTTTAAGAACATCAGTTGTTCGACCTGTTAGTCAAATTCGTTTTGTTAAAATATACTTTTCACTTTTTGGTCTTTTGGAAAATGTTGTTTGTGCTGTATTAAGACCCCACTACCAAGAAATTTGTTTTACATGCACACGTATAAAAATTGCGGTTTTTATCCAACGCAATCATAGGTTTGAACGTTGTTTTCAATTTAGACTTGCTTATCTTTATAAATGTATATCATGTATACTGTATGTTTTAAAACAGATGAAATCCTTCTAAACAAAATAAAATGAATAATGAACAATTTGAGTGTAAACATTTTCTTTTGAATTAGATGAAACAAAAATCGGAAAAAATCTGTTCACAATGCAAAACTATCAGCAATTAAAAACCAACTGTTCAGAGAACAATTGAAGGTCTTTCCACATCAATTTTTCTAAATAATTGATAAGAAGCTACTTCCAGTTTACTCAAAGTTACTTCTGGCGTCTAATCATAGGTTTCTTCATACTAATTCAAAAAATAAATGGTTTCTATATACTTTTGACTTTAAGAAGAAAGTTAATTTGCTACTTCCGGTTAAGTTAATGTCACTTCAGGTCTCAATGCCAATGAGACAACTCTCCATCCAAGTCACGATTTGTAAAAGTTATGTATGCCAATTTAAAAATATGTGGTTTCTAGGTACTTTTCCATAAAATGAGTGAAAACATTACTACTTCCGGTTCACTCAAGGTTACTTCCGGTTGATATTTTTCAAGGTCATATGTCCCATAAAATTTTGCAAAGGACCTTATAGTTTATTCATGTACCAATCTAAAGAAATTATCAATTTGTCTTAAAATAAAAAAATTCAGGGGCAATAACTCCTTTGATGTCATTGGATTGTTTCAGACCAAATGTATCATATCTTCATCACAAAAAAGCAAACAACGAATGGAAGTTTTTAACGACCTTGACTGGCTAAAAAAAAAAAAAAAAAAAAAAAAAAAAAAGCAAACATTTTGCACTGGTTCTTTTATATATAACGGTAAAAGTATCCGAGAAAATGAAAAAAACAAGCAAAGGACAAAATTGAGCACATGACATTGACCTTTGACCTCGACCTTATTTTGTAAGTTAGGACCCAGGAGCCTCAAATAAAAAGATTCTATCGTTACACGGCTAACGGTTTATGAGTTACAAAAACAAAACGACAGACTTACTTGGTAAAGGTAGATAACTCCTATAAGATTTCACCGGATCGCTTCGATCCAAATCAGCCAAAAATTCCAGAAGATGTAACGAACAAGTATGAAAAAGAATTGTGTCGATATCTTTATGGTTACGGAGGAGATGCACACTCATGATAAACAGTGTACAGGGAGATAACTCTTACACAGAAAATTGTTAGGATAAACATGGTCAAATTTAAAAGCACATAAACTGTTCGATACATTATATAAAATATCTAAGCGACATATTGCTAAACGAAAATTTGACGCAAGATCAAACTTTGGTGGAAGAAAAAAAAATAATAATAATGAAAAAAACCATTTGTTCAGAGAACAATTGAGGTCTTTCCACATTATATTTCTAAATTATTGATAAGAAGTTACTTCCGGTTAATCCAAAGTTACTATTGGCATCCAATCATAGGTTTATTTATACTGATTAAAAAAATATATAGATTCTATATACTTTTGATTAAAACTTGGGAGATAATTTGCTACTTCCGGTTACGAAAATGTCATTTCCGGTCTCATATGATAGCTTACTTTCCACTGATTCCGAAAATATATGTTTTTTTTTATATATTTTTCTTTCAAATGAGGGAGATAATTAACCACTTCCGGTTTTTAAAAGGCGATATTAGGTGTTATTAAAAGGTTATTGTATGTTGATTTTTAAAATAGATAGTTTGTAAGTATTTTTTCCCGTGAATTACTGCAAAAAAAGCTACTTTATGTTTGCACAAGGTCAATTCCGGTTGATATTTTTCAAGGTCATATGTCACTCAACCCTTTGGAAAAGACAATACGGCTTTAACATGTACCAGAATGAAATTATATTCGATTTACCTTAAATTTTATCATTTTAGGGGCAAGAACTCCTATAAAATATTATCAGATAGCTTTGGACCAAATATACCATTTCTTCCTCTCAACAACCCAAACATTTTGCATCAATTCTTTTGTATCTAGCTTTCATAGTTTGAGAGGAGTTGCACACACTATCAGAGGCAAAAATTTAGAATATGACCTTGACCTTTGACCTTGGCCTGATTTTCCAAGTTATGACTCAAGGATCTCAAAAGTCCTTAGGTCTTTACAGCTAACGGTTAATGAATTACACTGACATACCGATATAATAAATAGTGAAGGGTAGATAACTCCTGTAAAATGTCACCGCTACGATCCAAATTAGCCAAAAATTTCTGAGGATGTAACGAACAATTCAGAAAAAGAATTTTTGTCGGTATCTTTTTTTGTTACGAAGGAGATGCACACACAATATAAACAGTGAATGAATAGATAACTCTTACAAAGAAAATTGTTCGGCTTAGCAGGGTAAAATTTAAAAGCGCATACACTGTACGATACATTAAAAAAAATGTCTAAGCTACATATTGTGAAACAAAAATTTATCGC